GCCAAGGCCCTTCCAGACCTTCCTTCAGATCAGATCAGCGGCTGTTGATAACCCTACATCAAAGCCCAGAAACTACGGATCGCCCCTAAAGGCTGACGTCGCACAGAACCAATTGGATGAAATACAAGAAGTATGTGAGTTCCCACATTGAGCCAGCCCCCCAGCTCAATATTGAAGCCGACATCGACTCCTCCACCTCTGCTCTGGAAGAGGTACTTGTGATTGCAGCCAGGATATCAATACCACAACAGACGGATGTGCAAAAAATCAAATTTAAAACGAACCAGCAGATTGAACAGCTTATCCAAAAAAAGAGGCGTCTGCGACGGGCGTGGCAAAACAATAGATCGCCACACTCAAAGCAACGTCTAAATGAAGCCACACGCAAACTAAGCCGGGCCCTGAAGCAAGATGCCGAAAATGCACAATTAAGATATATTGAGAAACTCTCGCCAACCAGCACAAAGCATCCCTTATGGAGACCTCACCCAAATTTAAGCTCACCGACTGAAACCGTCACCCCGATAAGAAAGTCAGTGCTGGGCCCGCAGCGACAAAGACAGAGCCGAAACTTTTGCCTCACATCTCCAGGGCGTTTTCCAGCTGAACCCTGCTGCAAATTTATTTGAACTACCGCAAATCCAAACTGAAACGGAATCTACTCCAGCATCATTTCGTCCGAACGAGATAACGAAGGTCATCAGGGAACTGAAGCCGAAAAAGGCTCCCGGCGATGACTTAATAACTCAAAAAATGATAACTGAACTTCCGAATTGTGCTATTGAGGTTATCTGTAAAATCTTTAATGAGATCATAAGTCTCGGCCATTACCCAACAAAATGGAAAAAATCTATAATTATAATGATACCGAAGCCCGGAAAAGACCACACGATTCCGTCATCTTACCGACCAATAAGTTTACTATCATGCTTGTCGAAGTTATTTGAAAAATGGTTACTAAAGCGCATAATTCCTTATCTGGGAGCTCACAACATCATCCCAGCTCATCAAATTGGCTTCAGAGAAAAGCATGGAACTATAGAGCAAGTTAACAGAATAACATCAAAAATTCGCACAGCCTTCGAGCATAGAGAATATTGCAGAGCAATACTTCTAGATGTTTTTCAAGCATTCGACCGCGTCTGGCTCAATGGCTTCATGCACAAAATTAAAACACTCTTGCCGGCATACACACACAAATTACTTGAGTCATATCTCTACAACAGAGTCTTCGCAGTGAGGTGCAACGCAACAACATCCGGCACCTATTCCATCGAAGCTGGAGTTCCACAAGGAAGCGCACTTGGGCCTACCCTATTTGTCCTATATACAGCGGATATCCCCACAAGCGACCAGCTAACACTATCCACTTTCGCTGACGACACTGCGATCCTCAGCCGTTCCAGATGCCCAGTCCGGGCAACAACCCAGCTCGCCAACCACCTCAAGGTAGTCGAGAAGTGGCTATCTGATTGGCGTATTAAAATAACTGAACAAAAGTGTAAGCACATAACGTTCACTCTAAACAGACAAACATGCTCTCCGCTCTACCTGAACAGCACGCAGATCCCCGAAGTCAACGTTGTAACGTACCTGGGCGTCCACCTGGACAGACGCCTAACATGGCGAAGACACATTGAATGCAAGAAAATTCATCTAAAACTAAAAGCCAGCAGCCTCCACTGGCTCATAAACTCCCGATCGCCCCTGTGTCTGGACTACAAGGTCCTGCTCTACAACTCCACACAGAAGCCAATGTGGACGTATGGCTCCCAGCTCTGGGGGAACGCGTGCAGCACCAATCTAGACAGCATACAGCGCGCCCAATCAAAAATCCTGAGAACTATCACTGGGGCACTGGGGATCTCCGCATTCCTGCAGTTAAGAACGAAATGGAAAAACAAAAAGCGTCCTACAAGGAAAAACTCTCCGCCCATCCAAATCCTCTAGTAAGGGACTTGATACGAGTTTCCAGAAGAAGCCGTCTACTACGTAACGACCATCCAACGCAGTCATAATTAGTCAGGGCCATTTACTCTGTACCCGTCTCATGACTGCTAGTTAGGTAAGAACTGCTAGTTAGGTAAGATTTGATACACTTATTGTTAGTCTCATAAATGAGAAGATTCAATAAATAAAAGCAAAGCCTAACAAAAAAAAAAAAAACGATGATATCATCTTTTGTCTGCTTGTCGATTTTAAAGAATTCTTTGAGTTTGTTTCGTCGCAGTGAAAAGTCCATATTCCATCAGGGAATATCGTGTCCGATATAGGGCATGATGCGTGGTACGCATCTACCAGTTCCTTGCAGAGGGTCTCTAGGGACTTTACTATGTCTTCCGCGGATTCTTCTATGCCCGGAGAGGTGGCGATAGTCTCCTTGAACTTTCCCCAGTTAGTATTCCGGGGGTTCTGAAGACTGATTGTTTTGGAGAGTGTTCGAATGCGTATTGGAACCGTATGTACATATGATCTGAGAAGGATGGTCGCACAAGGACTCTTTATTCTTATACCAAAGTATCGTGTGCACTTACAAGAAGCAGATCTAGCACGTTTGAGGAGGTGGGACCTACAAAGGTGTGTTCCTTCTGTAGCTATACTCAGGTTGGTTGAGAGTATAAAGTCTAAGAGTGATTCACCTCTGCCGTTTATGTCGGGGCTCCCCCATAGGCAGTAATGCGCGTTGGCGTCTACACCCTCGAGCAGTTGCTGGTTCTTTGGGCTGGCTTCTACCAGGAGTTCTTCTGGTGGAGCCGTCCTGTCGTGTGCCATGTAGCAGGAAGCTACCAAAAAGCGGTTTTCCCACTCTCTAGCATCACCACGGTCAGGTCATCAGAGCTGTAATGAGACATACGGTTAGCGTGTAGACTCTTCCGTACCATTACGGTGGTTCTATTCCTGCCTACGGTTGGTGGATGGAGCAATTTGTAATTTGCGGACTTTAGTCCGGCAATGACATTGCCTGAGGCGATCCATGGCCCCTGGACCAAAGTAAGTTCGGCGTGTCCTTGTGTCCTTGCTCCATGGCTATGAAGAGTCCCGCCGACGCGACATTGCTCTTATGGAGGTTGAGCTGCAGCACCATGAATGTCATGGGTACTGGGCTCATACGCTTCATACGCCGGGCTGACTACTACGGTCAGGTCGCCGTCCTCTCCTTCTTCGGACTCGTCCAGCGTTATTCCCTGGGCGGCCACGATGGTTTCCAGACCTAGGTCTTTCTTCACTACGCCTGCCTTCAGCGTGTGAGTGTCCTTCAGGTATACGCTACCCATGCCCCACGCCATCTTCCCGTATCTGGGATAGAGGATGTCCTTTGCCCACCCTCCATGTGTGATGGGATCGGAACGTGCATAACCTTCCACTCCGCGGTTTTTTTCATCGGGTCCGACTATTCGTCGTGGCTGCATGATTTACTTATGTACATACATAATTACATGCCATTCATAGATCTTTTCTTGTCTTCCTCTCTTCTATCTCACCAACGTCTTCAGCTTAAAACTTATATACTACTGTCGAACTTTGGCTACCAAACGAACTTAAAGACTAGAAGTATTTACATATTTACATAGTCCTTCCAAGATATTTAAAAATTATATTTTGTTTACGCACTCTTAAGTACGGGCCTCGATTTTGGAAAACCAAGGTCGTCCGCTGCCAATCTCCGATCTCGCTTTAACGGAGTAAAGCGGGCGGGAGAGCGGTGTTAATTTTAAGCTTAAGTTAGTTACATGTATGCAGCCACGAGGCCCCCGACTTTCATTTTCACAACTATAAGATTCGCCTGCGCCGTGGGAATTTCTCCAAACCCTCGACTTCGGCACGCCTAAGTTTGTATACCATTGCAAATTGCAATTGGATCATTTAGAATCGAGCCATTCTGGTTAAATAATTAAAAACAAATATATTTAAAAGTTGTATATTTATACATACCATAAATAAAATGCTGAAGACACAGACGAAACAGAGTTTCAAAATATTTTACATATACTTATTATGTTTACAGTTTGACTGTTACAGTTTTACATTCCCAGTTTTACATTATCTCTACATTTTTTTTTTTTTTTTTTTTTTTTATATAATTATAATTTTTGTTTTATTAATTTCCCGATCGTTCCTAAGGCAGACTAAGATATAGTCGTCTGATTTTAATAAAATAAAAACCGAAATTCTGAAATAATATAAAATGGCCATATATCAAAAATGATGCAAAAATATTAAAAAACAGCCAAGTTAAAATTTTTTCCTAAAAGTTTCACGAACATTTGTATGGCAGCTATATGATAGAGTCGTCCGATCCGCCCCTTTCCGACATATATAGCAGTGAGAGTATATAAGATAGAAAACTATTTGCAAAGTTTCATTCAGATAGCTTTAAAACTGAGGGACTAGTTTGCGTAGAAACGGTCAGACGGCCAGACGGACAGGTGGACAGACGGACAGACGTACATGGCTAGATAAACTAGGCTGTTGATGCTGATCAAGAATATGTATACTTTGTAGGGTCGGAAAGGTCTCCTTCACTGCGTTGCAAAGTTCTGACTGAAATCATATATATATTTATAATAATATATAATTATAACGGCAGCGCTGCTCGAGCACAGAATTGCTGGTGAGCGTGAGCCCGCCTCTCGGTAGCGGTTAGTGACGTTGTTTTTGTTGTGCCTCCGATGAATTGAGCATAATTTCGTGCAGAAGACAACCGTAGTTTGTTGTGTTTCTGATTACGACTTTGACTCGTGGCTTTACCGATTTCACTTGTTAATTTAATAATAATTTGCGTTCGTTACTTCAATTAGTTTTAATAAAATAATAATTTTTTTTCAGTTTTTTACGAACACAAGGAGATTTGTCCCTTGAGGAGATATGGCATTGCTGCCAGTGCCTTTTCTCTATTTTTTTATGGTCTCTTTGTTGATTTGAAACTCTGGCAGAGAGATCAGAAAACACGTTTAATGTTATTTTCATGTGTAAAAAATACGTATTTATTTTTTTTACAGAATGCCTGCGGACCCCTCTGAAGAAGTTGCAGGACCTCAGGTCCCGAAAACGGAGTTAGAAGAGCTTCAGATTAAGGCGCAAGGAACAGCTGATGAGGTAAGTACCAATTAAAGCCCGTATCTGTCTACTGGTTGGGTCCAAAAACTATCCAGCAGACACCTGTTTTAACAAAAAGAATTTAAACAGCATATTATAGATGTTTAGGAGTGGGGTGGCTGCTCAATCCTCCGCAAAAGGATCAATAAAAGTTTATCCCACGAAGTAGAAAAAACGCAGAAAATTCGGGGGTCGAAAAGTGACAACGGCGGAGTGCCCGTAGCATACATATATTTTCGCATTCGATTCGGTACTAAACTTAGCTTAGCCTAAGGGCCCGCTGCCGGCCGAGAAGCCCAGCTTAACGGCGCGAGAGCAGGAGAGCGGGAGAACAGTGAACTAGAGCGGCGTAGCCGTCCCTAGAAGCGAGCGACGATCGGGAACACGGGAGCGTGCGATCGGTAATACCGAGGAGCGGAGAGCGGGAGAGCGTTGCTAAGCTGGGAGCGCTTAAGCTTTTGAACGCTCGGTGGGCAGAGGGGGAACAGGGGCCTCCTGGCGTAAACATTCTCCCCCCTTGCAATCACTCGGGTTGCAATAAACCCGTACAGGACGATGGTATGGAGGGGCGTCAGAGCGCCGCGTAGATCGTTGATGCTGGAGCGACGAGGAGCGATGAAGGACGGATGAGTGCCAAGGAGAGGCGGATGATTGCCATGGAGAGGCGAAAACTTGTCGTAAAGAGCTTGCTGAACAAGGCGGAGGCGTCGAATGCCGTGAACAGGACTCATCACTGTACGCTAGAAGACGTCGGACTTTCCGTAGCGGATGAACATTGACAGACTTGGCTACGGTAGGATTAAGTACCTCGGGTACGTCTGCTTTCCAGAGCGATCGCGGTGTATGGAAATGAAGCCCTCGTATGTGATCTGGATGAAAGAAGATGACAGGAGATGAGTGATGGTCAAGTAAATGCGAACTAGAAGTATGGGGGTGACCGATGCTGCGAGCGGAGTGGATGCTCTGGACGGTCATGCGGATGCAGGAGAGTGTGGTGGTGCTGATTGCACGTCTTGCATCGGTCACTGCTGCGGCAGGTTCCCTCGGAATGTTCGTGGGCCAAACAGTTGGAACAATAACGGTGGTCGAGAACCGCTCGGAGCCTCTTCTCAGCGCAGAGTTTGAGGAACTGTTGGCATTTCCGGAGCGGATGGTTCCCTTGGCAAACTCGGCATTGGTAGGATAAAATACCTCGGGAACGTCTGCTCTTGCTGTCGTCGTACGGAACCCAGTACTTGGAGGAATCGGCAGAAGTGGTCACTCGTGTGGAGAACGAGGAAATTCTTTGGGTGGGTGCAGGTCGAGGACTAGATGGAGCGGAGGGTCTTGGAACATTAGTAGTAGGATTGTCGCGGTGCAGCAGAGTGTGATGCCGGCTGTGGCACGTAAAGCAGGAATGGGCACTAGTACAGACCCGTTGCTGGTGCCCGCGCGAAAAACAATTCAAGCAGAATTGCTTTCTTCGGATGAAGTCTGTCCGCTCATTGACATTCATGTCCAGGAAAAACGGACATATACGGATAGGGTGGTCCTCTCTGGAACATAGATTACACCTTCTCGGTGTTGGAGCCACCCTAGCTTCGTGTGAATTGAGCCTGCGCACCGGTGGATTGGCATTTGCTGACTTTGGCGGAAAATGCCCAGAGCCGCTAGGCCTGACGTCGTCGATGGCCTCCAAAGTGCGATGGCGCTCAGTCAGAAATGCGTCCAACTCCTTTCAGGTTGGAATTTCGGCTTTATTGCGAATTGATTGCTCCCACAAGGAAAGCGTAATCTGGGGAAGCTTCGAGGAGACCATATACACAAGAAGGCAGTCCCACGCCTCGACTTCAATGGAGGACATTTGTAACGCGGTCAAACAGCTTTGAATTGTGCCTTGGAGCTCTTTTAGAGCGACTCCGGATTCTTGAGGAACATCCTGGATGTTAAAAAGAATCTTTTACTGACTGTTGACTAACAAGCGCTTATTTTCGAAGCGGTCGGAAAGGCTGCTCCATGCTGAGACGAAGCCCTCGTTGGTCAGAGGGGCCTTTGAAACGATGGCATGAGCATCGCCGCTTGTCTTCGAAAGTAGGTGGAATAACCTCTCCACAGGCGTAAGTCGGGAATTATTAATGTAAATCGCCGTGAAGAGGTCCCGGAAGGTGGGCCACCGAAGATAATCGCCTGTGAAGACCTCGGTGTCCACTGGTGGCAATCGACAACCCATGGACGGGGGTGTGGGCGCAGGGGCGGAAGCCTGAATGGACTGGGAGGCGGCCTTGTCGATAATTTCCTGCAGCTGTACAAGACACCTCGAATATACGGAGTAGCACTCACTGTACTTGGATTCAAGCTCAGTGGCGGTGGCTGTACTGTCGGAGGACACGGAAAGAAGATCGGAGCAGCTTTCATAGCTTTTCTCCACCTTGTCCCACAGGGCACGGATTTGGTCCCGATGGACTCTGCACATGCCAGGGGAAAATCTCTCAGCGTCAGGAGCGATCGGAATGTGAATGTTAGCTTCGAATTGGCTAACACGGGCTGTCGTCGAAACGAACTTTCGCAGGGCGATGTCTAAGGCATTTTGAGCCATTTTGGAAACCGACTGAGTGAGTCTTGGCGAAGGAACGGGACCAGAATCGACGGACTTGTCGCTTTTTGCCCTTGGGTTGGCAGTGGCTTTTTGTTGTCTCCCGTAGACAAACTCAATTTGGGACTCGGCGGATCAGCGGTTGTCGACTGACCTGAGCGAAGGATGCCTGATTCGACGTGGAAAGCAGAGTCGGGAACCAGAACGTAGACCGTACTGTCCGTGATCGTGGTGGAGTAGGAAGCAGAGATGTTTATATATATTCCGTGGCTCGGAAGTGGAGCTTGTCTAAATTGGAAAATTAATTTATTACTTATAAGCCGTGATAACAAAAAATATTAATTAATTATTAATGTCGGAAATAATTAATGTGAATTATTTAAGTATTTGCACGTAATTAATACGGAGCCGGAAAGGCGGAATTAAAAATAAACCTTGGCTTTGACTTGGGAAAAACTCACTGGGCTATACCGTCGGCAAAGCAGTGCATAAGTGAGGCTCAGGAGAGAGAACAAAACGTAACCCAAAGAACCGCAACAAAAACAACACGTCTGCTGCGGCGGTTGTGCAGATTTGGAGAAATAAACACTTGCACTTGAATATTCAATCTTGGTTATTTTGTTTGTTCTTGTTTGGTTGTAATTTAATTCCTGTATGGACGGGCAGCGAATATAAATACATATGTATGTATGTAGTTGGATAAGCATGCAAAATATGTATGGATGAGTTGTCTTTATTTTGGACAGTGGAAACCCGATAACCGGACTGTGGTTGTAAGGGCGTACGAAATATTGAAGGCAGAAAATATATTTTGTACAGTGGAAGCCCGAGAACTGGACTGGAGTTGTGAGGGCGTACAAAAATATTGGAGGCCGAAAATATATTTATATATTGGCATAAGTACAGTAGAGCGTCGAGAAGTGGACTGTATTATTTTGAAGTTGAAGGAATTGTGTTCAAGAAAATATCGAGGCGGCGGGAAACACACAGTGACCGAATATACATATGAGAATAAAATCTCGGGTAGGGGGCCGAATTCGGCAACACGAAATATACACTGTAGAATATACACTGTAGAAGCCCAGCTTAACAGCGCGAGTGCGGGAGAGCGGGAGAACCGTGAATTGGAGCGGCTCGTCTAGAAGCGAGCGACGATCGGGAGCACGGGAGCGTGCGATCGGGAATACCGAGGAGCGGAGAGCGGGCGAGCGTTGCCAAGCTGGGAACGCTTGAGCTTTTGGACGCTCGGTGGGCAGAGGGGGAGCAGAGGGGCCTCCTGGCGTAAACAATAGATAATTTCTATTAATGGTTTTTGTATTTACATTAAAAAAAAAAAAAGAAAAAATCTGCTGACGGTCATACTGTAATTAATAAACAACCAATTTACCAGCCCAGACATTTTTTTAAAGTTTGATACGTAATGAACCTAACATTTTTATCAGGGCACGTAAACATTATGAGCGAAAAAATAAAATTCAATATTTAATGATTATCAATTAATTTTAATATACTTTGCTTGCCATTAATAATTGTCATTTTATTTAAAAAAGATAGCGATATTTTTTCGCTCAGAATTTCGTTCAAAGTGCAATATCCTAATTCTAAGTGGTTTGTTAAAAAAAATGTACATTATCCAATGAAGTGACTGTCTGTTTCGTTTGTTTCCGCTTCATAGGATGATGTAAAATTTTTGTAAAAAAAACCTCTTAGAAAGAACATTGTGCAATTAGAGCGATATTCTGAGCGAAAAAATACGCTCAAAAAGTTATCATTACTTTTTTATACCCTTGCAGGGTATTAAAATTTCAGTCAGAAGTTTGCAACGCAGTGAAGGAGACCTTTCCGATTACATCAACAGCCGAGTCTATCTAGCCATGTCCGTCTGTCCGTCCGTCTGACCGTTTCTACGCAAAGAAGTCCTTCAGTTTTAAAGCTATCTGAATGAAACTTTGCATTCAGTCTTCTATATACTCTCACTGCTATATATATATTGTATAGCTGCCATACAACATTTTTGTACCATTTTTGAGATATGGCCAATTTATATTATTTCAGATTTTTGGTTTTAATTTTATAAAAATCGGACGACTATATCTTTTAGCTGTCATAGGAACAATCGTGCAATTTATAGAAAAAAATTTTAATTTCGTTGTTTTTCAACGCTTTTTCCTCTACTCTGAGATATGAGCTTTTGTTATTATTTCAAAAGTTTGGTATAAATTTGATGAAAATCGGACAACTATATGTTATAGCTGCCATAGGAACGACAACTTCGGTGTTTTACTCTAAGATATGAGCTTTTGTTATTATTTCAGAATTTTGGTATAAACTTTATGAAAATCTGACAACTATATCATATAGCTGCCATAGAAACGATATATAGATGTAAAGAAAACGTAAAGCTGGGAATATAAAACTGTAACTGCCA